TACTACGCCCGGCTCATTTTGATTTATTGTAGAGATGAGGTCTCGCCAAGTTGCCCAGGCGGGTCTCGAACCCGCGGGCTCAGACAATTCACTCACCTCAGCCTCCCAAAGGCGCGGGATTACAGGCTGAGCCATTGAGCCTGGTCAAAAATCTTTTCTATATGTTTGAAATTTTTCCTTTTTTTTCTTTTTTTTGAGTCAGAGCCTCACTCTATCACTCAGGCTGGAGTACAGCAGCATGCTCACAGTCACGGCAGCCTTGACCTGCTGGGCTTAGGCGATCCTTCTGTCTCAGGCTTCCAATAGCTGGAATTACAAGCGCATGCTACCAGGCCCGGCTAGTTTTTTTGTGATTTATTGTAGAGATGAGGTCTCGCCAAGTTGCCCAGACGGGTCTCGAACCCCTGGGCTCAGGCAATCCTCTTGCCTTGGCCTCCTAAAGTGCTGGGATTACAGGCTGAACCACCACGCCCGGCCTTAATTTTTGTCAACTAGCCACTTCATCACCTCTCCTAGTGGACCAACCATTCTTTCCTTAACCTGTTCTGGGGTCAGGCAGAGCCAGTCAGGTATCACTGCTAGTGTGGCAGCCCCACACTAGAGGTGGGGAGACAATTCCCAGTGACAGAAGCCCTGTCACACGAAGTCTTAGCATGCGCTAACTTACTTGTTACCTCACTGAACCTTTACGACTGCCCTACCAAGAAGGGACTCTTTCCACTGCTACTTTGGCTGTGAGGGAACTATGGTTTAAGGGAGGTTAAACGTTTAACTTGCTAGTGGGAGGCTAAGCCTGATTTCTCACAAACAATCCCACACTGGCATACCCTCCACTGAGGTCAACTCCGTGGGTCCACATGTGTTAGGCTGGAGCTGGGTGTCTGGCCTAGCGTGTCTCAGGCCTCTGTGCTTCTGTGGCCTCCAGGCCTGCCTCTGTTACTGCCCTGGTGACACTGCTGTGCCTGCCAGCCTCACTGAACTTGATCCTCAAAAGCAGAGGTCAATGACCTCTGTATTCCACCCAGAAGCAGGCCTCGAGGGAATGTTCACAGACTGAATTTATTTATTTATTTATTTTTGAGTTGGAGTCTCACTCTGTCGCCCAGACTGGAGTGCAGTGGCCGCTCCCGGCCACCGCAGCCTCGACCTGCTCGGCTCCGGCGATCCTTCCGCCTCAGCCTTCCAAGTAGCTGGAACTACAGGCGCACGCTATCACGCCCAGCTAATTTTTTTAAATTTATTGTAGAGATGAGGTCTCGCCAAGTTGCCCAGGCGGGTCTCGGATCCCCGGGCTCAGTCAGTCCTCTCACCTCGGCCTCCCAAAGCGCTGGGATTGCAGGCTGAGCCACTGAGCCCAGCCACATAGACTGAATTTTAAAAGCTTCAAGCCAGGCGCAGTGGCACACGTCTGCAATCCCAGCACTTTGGGAGGCAAAGGTGAGAGGATTGCCTGAGCTCAGGGGTTCATGACCAGCCTGAGCAACATGGCAAGACCTCGTCTCTACAATAAATCAAAAAATTAGGCGGGCATAGAGGTGCGTGCCTGTAGTTCCTAGTTCCAGCTTCAGGAATTCCATCTGTTTCTGAGAAGGTTCTGGAACATTCTCAGTATGAGATCACCCAAGATGGTGACTCTATAAATTCCCTTTACAAAGAGCTCCCAACCCCTGTGCTTAGCACTTCACACATGTTATTTCAAAGATTTTTTTTTTCAACCACTCCATGAGGTAGGTGCCATCATCTTTATTTTACAGATAAGGAAACTGAGTCTCAGACAGAGGACTCCCAGGTCACTAGATGGTAAGAGATGAGGTTGGTATACAAACCTGGCTACCTTGAAGAAACTGCCCCAAGTCTTTGGCTTTCAGGCTAGTAAACAGCACAGCCAAAATCAGAATCATGGTTTGTCTAGTTGCCAAGTTCCTTTCTCCTAAAAAAAATGTCAGCCCCAAAACACCCTTGTAGCTGACTAAGACAGGAGAAGGGACAGTCATCTAAAACCTGGCGGTCCCACTCGAGGATGCCCCGGGGGGCTTGCATGCTTCTCCCCAGAACCAAAACGCCTTTGTTCACGGTGAACAAAGGCTCTGCGCTCCCACACACACACAAGACAGGACGAAGACCTGACAGAACTGAGCACCAGCAGAGCGCCATGGGTTATGGAAACAGTGCATCTTACATAAAACCAAACCACATCACACCAAACCAAAGCCTGGTGTTCTCAGCTGTGTTAGTCAGAGCAAACCGAGGGTCATCTCCAAGGCATGAACAGGACGTGAGGAAGGCCTGCCTTCTCGAGGCCTTTGCCCCAGGCCAGGAGGCATCCCAAGTGGGGACAGCTTTACCTCAGGAGGCCAGAATAGCCTGTGCTTTCCCTCCAGCTGTCCCAGCCCTGACACCTTAATGGACGTCCCCTGCATTCCCTCCAGGGCCATCTCTTTGCTCCTGAGGCAAGCAAAGGATCTCACTGGCATCCGCCCAGCCTCGGCGGATGGAGCAGGGGTGAGACGACCAGCCCACCCTGCCAAGTGAGACGCCAAGGGCACACACGGCATGCTGCAAGCCTACCTGGCTCCCACCTCTCTGAGCAGTTTTCCTCTCAGCCTGCTCGTCACCTCTAGGCCGCTCTGTGTGCTCAGCCTCCCTTCCTGGAAAAGGGCTACCCAGGGGCTTGGCGGGCCGGTTCTCGTCAGGGGTGTTGAGATCTGAGGGTCTCTGTTCAGTACTCAGGCACCTGACCACGTCTGAAGGCTTCAAGCAGCTCTTCTTAGAGATCTTGGGTCCACCTGCCTCCCTGTCCGCTTTCCTCTCATATTGTCCGTTCTCTTCTCGCCACGATTGCCTCTTGCTCTGGGTGCTAAAGGCATCGCTAAGCTCCAAGATGACGCTATCAGAGCTCCCGGGCAGCGGCTGGGAGAAGCTATCTGGGCAGCTGCCTGCAGGCAGAGCGTGGAGGCCACTGTCTCCATTGATGTGAAGCGGGGCTTGGGCACTGGGTGCCAGGGAGTAGGCTTTGTGCGGGGCAGGTAGGGCCAGCGGGGAAGCTACTGATTGTGGACTGGGATGATCTGACCAACCTGAACGTGGGAAGCTGAGGGCCAGGGAGGGGCTGGCCCTCGATGTCAAGGCCAGGTGGTCCGTGTTGTAGATAGACGCCTCCGGTAGAGGAGGTAAGGGTGGGGTCAGGGCCAGAGAACGCCTGCCTGGGACCCCTACGGTCAGTGAGATCCACTCGTTGGTGACAGCGTGCATCTCGGGGGACAGGGCTCGGCGGGCGTGGGGCAGGGATGAGTGGACTGGCATGATGAGCTTGCTATGACTAGGAAACTTAAAAAGAGGAGGAGAGAGAGGAAAACAAAAGGAAGAAGCAAAAGGTACAAGTGTCAGCATAAAGGAGAGAAGGAGGAATGTAATCACAAGGGCTGTATAAAGAGGAATGAAATGGACAAGATGAGCAGGACACTCTGGTGTCCAAAAAGGAAACGGTTGCTTAGATTTGGGGAGAAACTGAGATGAGGGGACACGTGTGTGCGTGCGCGTGCCCGGTGAACAGGCGGGGAAAGGCGAGCAGTGTGGAGATCGACAGAGGGTCCCATCAGAGTGCTGGATGGTGCCGGCCTGCTTTGCAGAATCAGAGTTTCAAAGGGTCACACTGGAAGCCCCCCACCCCAGCCCACCCAATCACCTGTGCGACCACAGCCCCAACCGGAACCACGAGGGAAAAAAGATGGCCCACTACTGCCCTGGCCCTTCCTTGGGCTTTTACTCTCTCTAGGGGGCTCAGCAGAGTCTTCCAGACAGGAGTCCAAGTAGGGCTGTCATTTGGTTTGACAATCACTCTTGGCCACCGTCAGCTGAAAAGTCGAGTTGAGTTCCCCTATTACAGAGTAGAAAGGTCTGCTCCAATCTCACACCCTCTTCCCGGAGACAACAGGGTGTGGATCTCACCGTGGGGGAAACCCGGGTTCAGCCCAGCTATCGCTTTCTGCCAAGAACCCTCTACTGGGGTCAGTGATGTGCAGGTACGAGAAGAGGAAGTGATCAGAGGACGAGAGAAAAGAGGCACCAACTCAGGGTCATCCTGGGTCCCCGGGTCCCGCTCTTGGTCCTCTGCCACCCTCCCTACAACTTACATCATGATGTGGTCAGGTTTCCTCACAGAATACCACCCCCTCCCATGCCTCCCTGACCCAAGACTCTGATTCTTTCTTGGCTTTGGAATTGTGTGTGTGTGTGTGTGTGTGTGTGTGTGTGTGTGTGTGTGTGTGTGTGTGTTTGTATGTATTTTTTTTTTTCTTGAGTTGGTGTCTCACTCTGTCACCCAGGCTAGAGTGCAGTGGCAGACTCACGGCCACTGCAGCCTCGACCAGCTAGGCTCATGTGATCCTTCCTCCTCAGCCTTCCAAGTAGCTGGAACTACAGGCGTGCGCCACCACACCCGGCTAATTTTTTAAATGTATTGTAGAGATGAGGTCTTGCCATTTTGCCCAGGCTGGTCTCGAATCTGTGAGCTCAGGCAATCCTCTCGCTTTGACCTCCCAAAGTGTTGGAATTACAGGCATCCAGCAGAATAATGTATATTTTTAAACATGTTTGATCATTATTAATGTTCAGGAAAGCCAGCATCTTATTACACCTATAAATGCACTTCCTTTCAGCCCTGAGTAGACTGTGATGCTCTAAGTTCCTGGTTCCAGTCACCCAGAATGGAATTTCCTTTGCATTCACCTGGTTCCAGTGAATGAAAATCATATTTTGAATCTGGTCTGCAGGTCTGAGGATAAGAGTGTGAAAGTATCTCGATCTTCATCTTTTGCAAGCCAACCTTGACCAAGAACATGACTCAGAGAACAACCATGGAATTTAGGGTACAGTGGTGGTACCCACACCACCAGCTTCACCCAGGAGGGACCCACTGATAAACATTCTTGTTTCTTTCCCGTAGTCACCTTATTTTTTCCAGAACAATTACCTTAAGCTCTTTCTTTTCCCCTGAGGTAGTATTTCTCCCACCAAGAACTAGAAAAGTGGCACTGTATATGTGAAAGCAAACTCCAGGGGACAGCCTGCCCTGTGGCAGACAGTTCTCCATCACCGTCTCGAAAGCCTCCCACGTGGCTGTGTGCCACCAGCACTGCTGAGAATGAAAACCCACACACTGAGCAAGAAAGCCAGCGATGAGAGGCCTAGATACCTGTGGGCTCGCAGTGGCACTCCGACTTGGGGATGAGGAGAAAGGGAGGTCGATGTAATCCACGGGGTTTTTCACTAGTGGCCGTTTGATCACATCCACGTAGGTGATGGGGAAGATGCCTTGTCGGGACGTGCCTGGGATTCTCCCTTCATACCAGTTTTCATCCACCTGCCGGAGCAGCGCAATCCTCTCACCCTGCAAGACACAGCAAGGCAAGGGTCCTCATGCCACCACACCTCAGCACATCAGAACCCTGCCTGCACCCTGCAATGTCCTATATTATTCATCACATCCTTTGCTCAGGGAAATCTTTCTCTGCTGGACGTGAATGGAATAAACACCGCTGGGATGGGATGCTAACAGCAGTACAGCCACCTCAAAGCTGGGAGGTTAAGCTTGGTCTTTAAATACTTCAATATTTGGGAGGCCGAGGTGAGTGAATTGCCTGAGCTTGTGAGTTCGAGACCCGCCTGGGCAACTTGGCGAGACCTCGTCTCTATAATAAATCAAAAATGAGCTGGGCATGGTAGTGAGCGCCTGTAGTTCCAGCTACTTGGAAGGCTGAGGCAGAAAGGATTGCTGGAGCCCAGCAGGTCGAGGCTGCAGTGGCCGGGAGCGACCACTGCACTCCAGTCTGGGTGACAGAGCAAGACTCCAACTCAAAAAAAGAAAAATAATAAATAAATAAATAAATACTTCAATAATGGAGAAGATCAGAGTCATACCCCAAGCTAGAGGGCAAAACAGACAGATATCCAGTCTTCATCTCTAAGGCAAAGAATTGGGGATTTCTCCTTTTCCTCTCTTTTTATAGTTTTATTTTTTCATGTACTATTCCAGAAAAATTGGAACACAAATATAAAGCAGAAAATCATCACCCATCATGCCGTCCCTTGGAGATAAACGTTCATGGTTTTTTTTTTTTGAGTTGGAGTCTCACTCTGTCACCTAGACTGGAGTACAGTGGCCGCTCCTGGTCACTGCAGCCTCAACCTGCTGGGCTCTGGCGATCCTTCCTCCTCAGCCTTCTGAGTAGCCGGAATTACAGGCGCGTGCTACCACGCCTGGCTAATTTTTTTTAAATTTTGTTGTAGAGATGAGGTCTCGCCTGCCCAGGCAGGTCTCGAACCCACAGGCTCAGGCAATCCACTCACCTCAGCCTCCCAAAGGCGCGGGATTACAGGCTGAGCCACCGAGCCCAGCAACGTTCATGTTTTGATACATGTACTTTCCAGATATAATGCCATGCCTGTGAATTAGATTTGTACGTTTTTTTCTTAGGAAAATTGAGTTTGAACTGTATTTCCCTTTTTCAATTTGCTTTTTTCTTTATACTTAACAATATATTGTGAACCATCCTTTTTTTGTTTTGTTTTTTTTGAGTTGGAGTCTCATTCTGTTGCCCACGCTGGAGTGCAGTCGCACGCTCACAGCCACTGCAGCCTCGATCTGCCAGGCTCAGGTGATCCTTCTGCCTCAGCCTGTCAAGTAGCTGGGACTATAGGCACACGCTGCCATGCCCAGCTAATTTTTTGATCTACTGTAGAGATGGGGTCTTACCATGTTGCCCAGGCTGGTCTCAAACCCCTGGACTCAGCCAGGTAATCCTCTCGCCTCTCAAAGTGCTGGGATTACAGGCATGAGCCACTGCACCTGGCCTGTGATCAAGAAACACTATTATACTTTTTTTTGAGTTGGAGTCTCACTCTGTCACCCAGGCTGGAGTGCAGTGGCACGCACATGGCCACCACAGCCTCGACCTGCTGGGCTTAGGTGATCTTTCTGCCTCAGCCTTCTAAGCAGCTGGAACTACAGGCATGTGCCACTACACCCAACTAATTTTTTGATTAATTGTAGAGACGAGGTCTCACCAAGTTGCCCAGGTTGGTCTTGAACCCAGTGGGCTCAGGCAATCCTCTCATCTCGGTCTCTCAAAGTGCTAGGATTATAGGTGTGAGACACCATACCCGGCCAAATCATGATTTAAATACTCACTCCCTGCTGTCAGGCAACTGGGCTGCTTGCAGTGCTTCTCTCTTACATGTCAGATAGCTCATCTTTCTTCATAATTATTATTATGCTCTATAGAGACAAATCTTGCTATGTTGCCCAAGCTGGTCTCAAACTTCTGGCCTCAAGCAATCCTCCCACCTCATCTTCCCAAAGTGCTGGGATTACAGGCATGAGCCATCACGCTCCAGCCTCACAGTCCCTAAGACAACAGTGCCATCAAAGAGAGACCCACAGCAAAACACGAGAAGGGTGGCTTACCTTTCTGAAGGACATCTCTACTTGTGTGTCGCCATTAAAGTTAAACTTAGCAGTAGCCTCTCCATATTCCAGAACCTGCACTGGCGCCAACTTTTTGGGCTGAGCCTTCTCAGCAGGAGGAAGGAGCTGAGAAAGGAAAAGCAGTAACAGAGAAAGAAAGAGAAAGAAAAGTGGGGAAAGGAAAGGTCAAGGAGAAAACAAGACACAAGTCTTTGGGTAAGTGCACAGTGCCGTGGGCACAACTGGGCTTTTCCTTAGAAAGGAAAGAGGTGGTGGTACCTCGATGTAGGTGCGTGGGAAGATTCCCACGCGGCCGTGGTGCTCTCCTTCGTACCAGTTCTGGTCAATCTGCTTATAAATGTAAACAATGTCTCCTTTCTGCAGAGGAAGCTCCCTGTGGACAGAGGGTCAAGGCACATTGGCAGACGTTTCGATATGAGTAAGATTAAGACACTTAGTTTCTTAGCAAAAAGAGACCTCAGGTGAGATCGAAGGGGACAAATTCCAGAAGAAGGGATGCCCTATTTGGAAGTGAGAACCCTGTTGTCCGGGAAATTACATCACATTTGGCATTTTTCCGGTCTTTCGCGGGATGGGTGTTAGTTAGCATTTGAACTGACTAACACCAGAAAGTGCTCAGAGGACTTATGAGCTTATTGTGGCTTTCTCGATGCATTTTTTGTGAATGCTGTATTATGCTCAGAAGAGTTCTTTCATTTTTTTTTATTCTTTATTTTATGTTTTTTTGAGCTGGAGTCTTACTCTGTCGCTCAGGTTGGAGTGCAGTGGCATGCTCATGGCCACCATAGCCTTGACTTGCTGGGCTCCAGCAATCCTTCCACCTCAGTCTTCCAAGTAGCTGGAACTACAGGCATGCGCCACCACGCCTGGCTAATTTTTTGATGTATTGTAGAGCCTAGGTCTCACCAAGTTGCCCAGGCTAGTCTTGAACTCCTGGGCTCAAGAAATCCTCTTGCCCTGGCCTCTCAAAGTGCTGGGATTACAGGTTTGAGCCACCAAGCCCGGTCCATTGTGTTTTTTTGAGTCAGGGTTTTACTCTGTTGGGCAGACTGGAGTGCTGTGTGCCACCATCACGGGTCACTATAGCCTTGACCTCTGGGTTCAGGCAATCCTTCCACCTCAGCTTCCGCGGGAGCGAGCCACCACGCCAAGCTAATTTAAACGCTTTTTTTTTTTTTTTTAAAGGCAGAAATCTTGCTATGTTGCCTAAGCTCGTCTAAACTCCTGGGCTCAAGCAATCCTCCTGCCTTGGTCTCCCAAAGTGCTGGAATTACAGGCATGAGCCACCACATGCGGTCATTATGGTCAAGATATTTACACAAGGACATAACAATGCTCCTAGCAGTCTTAACTGATGTTTGCTATGATGAAGAATGTGTCCTTGATACCTTCGTGGCCCTCTTCACAGGACACGCCTTCATTGCTTTAAATTACCCTCAAGTCAGAGTCTTACTCTGTCACCCAGGCTTGAGTGCAGTGGCACGATCACAGCCACCACAGTCTCCACCTGCTGGCTCAGGTGACCGTTCTGTCTCAGTCTTCCAAGTAGCTGGGACTACAGGTGTGTGCCAGCATGCCCACCCAATGTTTTGATTTATTGTGGAGACAAAGTCTTGCCATATTGCCCTGGTTGGTCTTGAACTCCGGGGCTCAGGCAATCCTCTCGCCTAGGCCTCCCAAACTGCTGAGATTACAGGCATGAGCCACCGCGCCCAGTCAAATTATTTGTGATTATTGATATCCTTCTATCATTCCATTCCTTGATCCATCTGCCTACACACCGACTTTACTATCTATCTTGCCTATCATTATGAAGTAGAAAGGCTCTCAAGTTAGGCAGATCTGGGTTCAAAATCCAGTTCTACAATTTACTAGCTCTGGGACCTTGGGTAAGGTACTTAATCTCTCTGAGACATTGTTTCTTTAGTGGAACACAAGAGCTCACGCAGAGTTGCTGGAGAATGCAGCAGCGAACTGCGGTGACTCAGCCTGTAATCCTGCACCTTTGGGAGGCTGAGGTGAGTGGATTGCCTGAGC